ACCACACACTACAATCCTTACAGAGAATAATAATAATAATATCATAAGGAAATATTTAAATAACTTTATGCCAATAAATTCAACAAATTAGAAAAAACACACAATTTCCTTAATGATACAAACTGTCAAAGCACACTCCAGAAGGAAGAGGTAACTGGAATAGTACAATAGATATCTAGGGAATATACTGAATTTTTATGCAAAATCTGGCAATAGGAACCCTAGGATTAGCTGTATTCACTAGCAATGTATGTCAAATGCTAAATGTAGGCATTCTATACAAATTCCTCAGGAAACTAAAGAAGAAATACAAGGGGACTTCTAAAAGTTCACGGAAAAATTCCATTATCTTTCAATTTCATTTTTCCCTAAATTTTTTGAATCCTCTCATATTTTCCAATTTATTTTCAGCATTATCCTAATAAAACCATGTAAAAATACATTATAAGAATAGTAAACTAAAAATCAATATTTCTCCTGAACATAGATGCAAAAATCCTCAACAAAATATTTGCAAATCACCAACCTTCTGGTTACCAGCCCAATGCTTAACCCACTGAGCTCCTTCTTATTCAAAAGGAATAAAAATTTCTCCTACATTAACTCCTAAAAACCTGTTTTATATTTCATACTTAAGTCTATGATATAATTGAAACTGACACAAACTAAAGTTCACTTTGTTTTTAATTTGGGTATCTAATTTTCTCAGTAAAAAGACTGAAAATGATATCCTCTATGATTTGTACTATCACTTCGTCATAAACAAACTAAATTATTTATGTCAATGTTTCTGGGTTGCCTACTCCATTCCCTGAACTAATACAACACTGATTTAATAACTTTCAACAAGCTAACACAGCACTGAAGGTGTTCATTCATCTATGCCAAAAAATTTGGAAGATGGCTACCTAGACAATCAATTGGAAGAGATGCATATTTGTGCCCATTCCAGGCAGAGGTGACAAAATAGAAAGCGGAGATCATCAAACAATACCATAATATCACATGCAAGTAAAATTTTCCTGAAGATAATTCAAACACAATTGCAACAGTCCATCAACAGGAACTGTTAGAAACACAAGATGGATTCAGAAAAGTATGTGAAACTAAAGATATCACTGTTGACTTCAATGGATCTTGGCTGAAAGCAGAGAATACCAGACAGATGTTTATTTGTATTTTCTTCACTGTGCAAAGGCTTTCAGCTGTGTGGATCATGACAAGCTATGGACAACACTGCAAAAAATGGGTTTCCAGGACACTTGATTTTGCTCATGAGGAAATTGCACAGACCAAGAGGCAGAAAAGGAGGAAACTGAATGGTTTAAAATCTAGAAAGGTGAGCACCACAATTGTAGTCACAGTACTTACTGAATCTGTACACTGGGCAAATAATTTGGGAAGATGAATTATAAGAAGAGGAACATGGTTATCAGGATTGGAGGAAGACTCATTAACTTGCGATATGCAGATGATACAACTTTGCTTGCTGAAAGTGAAAAGGACTTAAAATTCTTACTGATTAGGATCAATGTCTACAGCCTTCAGTATGGATTGCAGTTCAAAGAAAACAAAAATCCCCACAACTGGACTAATAAATGACATCATGATAAATGGAGAACAGAATGAAGTTGTCAAAGACTTCATTTTGCTTGGATCCTCAATCAATACCCATGGAAGCAGCAGTCAAGAAATCAAGCAACATATTTGCGTTAAGCACATCTGCTGCACAAGATCTCTTTAAAGTGTTCAAGAGCAATGGTATCAGTTTGAGGCCTAAGGTACACCTGATCCAAGCCATGATATTTTCAACAGCCTCAAATGCATGTGAAAGTTGAACAATGAAAAAGGAAGACCATAAAAGAATTGATGCATTTCAGTTATATTGGTGTTACAGAAGAATATTGAAAGTACCATGAGCTACTTGAAAGACAAACAAATCTGTGTGAGAAGCAGTACAGCCACAATGTTTCTAAGAATCAAGGATGGCTAGAGTTTGTCTTTCATACTTGGGACATATTATCAGGTGGGACCAGTCCCTTAGAGAAGGGTATCATGCTTGGTAAAGTGGAGGGTCAGAGAAAAGGAGGGAGATTCCCAATGAAGTGGACTGGCATAGTGGCTCAAGTGTAACAAAAATGATGAGGATGGCACAGAACCAAACAGTGTTTCATTTTGCTGTGCTATGGGGCGCTATGAGTCAGGAGCAACTCGATGAATAACAATAATATCTGATAAAACTACTCTCCCTCTTTTTCCTTATGAGTATCTTGACTTATACTGTCTGGGGTTTATTTGTATATTAAAATTTAAAATGTTAAACTAGCTTGTCAAGTTTAAGAATAACTAGAAATTTTTAGTAAGATTTTATTACACCTATAAAGTCCTACTGTGGTGCTATATGATAATCACTGGACTGCTAACCACAAAGCTGGTGATTCAAGCCTACCTACCACTCCTCAGATATGATATACAGGATCACCATGAGTCAGAATCAACCCGGCAGCACTTAGCAACAACATCATAGATCAAATGGGAAATAATATCTTTAAACTACAGTCTCCCAAACAAGAAGATTGTTGGCATATTTTAAAATCTGCCACAGTTTTATAATTTTTTCCATAGAGGAGTGACTTATGCTTTTGTACATTTGCCTAGTGATGTTTAATATTTAAAACTATTAGAAAATAATCTTCTAATAAATATTGTCTATATAGATTTCTGAAGTACAGAAATACAAGTTAGTTTTGTGTTTTGATTTCATACCTAGCAATTATCTATATATTCTTTAGGCAATTTATGCACTGAATCATTAAAATTCAGTAAAACCAACCAAATGATTATACTTAAAGAAAACTGGTATACAGGGAGAATAATAAAGGTGAAAAAGTGGACCTAAACAAAAAGCCAGGTCTTTACTAATAACATATGCGTATCTGGCAAAGTATACAATATCTCTTTCCTGCCTAATGAAGATTATGGTATGATGATTAATGGTATACTGCTTTTGTTGTTAAATGCCATCAAGTCAGTTCCAAACTCATATCGACCTTACTATGTACAACAGAAAAAAACACTGCCCAGTTCTGCACCATCCTCACAATCATTATTAAGCTTGAGCCCACTGGTGATGCCACTGTGACAATCATCTCGTTGGGGGTTTTCCTCTTTTTTGCCGACCCTCCACTTTACCTAACGTGATTATTTATCCATCTTCTCCAGGGACTGGTACACTCCAGAATAAATAAGCAACAGCATTAATCATTAATCCATCTCAAATTTATTTTTCGGTATCATATGAAAATCAATATAACTACTTTTTAAATGGATAGTCAACTCAACATCATTTACTAAAAGATTTACCAGTCATTATTGAACGGCCTATTACTCTCTACTAGTTTGGAAAGTGATATTTTCATAACTTAAATTTTCACAGACTCATATATAACTTTAAACTTTCATTCTTTCAACAAGTATTTGATGAGAACTAATTAAATGCTAGGTACTGTACAAAGGTAAGGAAGTCAGGCATAATTAGTCCTTAAGATCTGTAGATGAATCAAGCAAAAGGCTACAAAGGGTCCCAGAAGTAGAATTAAAAGGATATATACAGAATGCTCTCAGAAGGCTATCAGATTTCTACAATAAATTAGAAAAGATGCAACATCCTGTACTTCTTAATTTAAAGATGTATTTGTCATCTCTAAGTTCCATTAAGAATAAAATTAAAGAAAAAACATTAAAGACAAGCCCAGGCTAGTATTAATAAAACAACAAGTAGCAGTGAAATTTTAAATTAATTCTAATTCTGAATTTCTAATTCTAGAGTGGTTTTTGACAATGTTGAGACTGGCATGTCTAATATGATTCCAAATGGATAAGTCAAGCAGATAAATGGGTATGAAAGTCTGGAATTCATGGAAAGGTGAGACCTAGAAAGATTAATGTGGGTTTCTGAGCACACAGACTTGATATCTAAAGACGGCCCTCAGGACTCCAACTTAATAAAAGTACAGTCTAGCAGAAGCCTGTTAAAGACACAAGGAGTGTGAGGTATGCCCTCCTCTCCCCCTCCCACCCAAAAAAAATCAAAGCAAGTATTTCAAGAAGATGGATAAAACAACTGATGATTTCATAGTTTTATTCATATATTTCAGATAAAGATTTAAAAACCAGGACACGTTTTGTAGCAAGGAGGGGAGTGATTAACTTTTCAGTCTAGGAGCGGAGGTCCCTGGGACCATCAATGGAGAAGAGCGGAGAGCGGGGCCCTACCCAGAGAAGCAGTGATGCCTAAGATGGAGGCAGAGGATGATGTGGAGAGATGGAGCAGCTGGGGACTTTGGACACAGAGAGGGAGAGGGGCTGTGTGCTAACGATTGGGGAGCAGGCTTGTGGTGTATACCCTCTGGTTGGTTGGCGATGCATGGAGAGGACTGTAACCAGAGCAGTGAAACGATATACGATAGGATGAATGTAAAACTAATGTTCTCCCATGTAAACTATAATTCACAAGAAAAAATATTAAAAAACCCCAAGACATCAAAGTTGAATTATACTTGTTAATGTAAAAAAAAAAAAAAAAAAGGATCCTCACACTGAAAGCTCAAAGTGATTTCTTTTGCTAGGAATAGAGCACTTGTATTATAGTCCAAGTGAACAAGAGTATGACCCTAAACTATTGCACTCAAATGCAAGGTTGGTTTGAACCACAACGCTGGCAGTTCAAACTTACCAGCCACTCCTCAAAAAACCCTACACAGGGTCTCTATGAGTCACTAATGATTCAACAGCAATTAACAACAACAAAAAGCTTATGCACACAGATACACTCTACTTCATTGAAACAGAGAACTATTATCCTAAACTTAAAACTGAAAAATAATAAAAACTTCATTCAGATCTCCATCTTAAACTTGTGTTCCCAAATTTTCTCCATACCCAACTCACTGTCATTTTTCCTACGACTAACATCCAATCTACTACAGTCATGCTCTAACCTGAGTTTGGCTTCCACACCAACAGAGACCATGGAGCTTGCAAACTCTTCAGATACAGAACTCTGAAGAGGTAGAACTGACTGTTTGGTGTCCATTTCTGCTTCAGCATCCTCTTCGGCAGATTGCTCTTTAATTTCTGTTTAGCAGTAAACAAAAAGACATAACAAGTTATTTTGTGTACTTATCAATACATTTATCTATAAAGCATAAAACATAGTAGAAAAGAATCAAACCAATTTTTTCCTTATATGAAATATTTGTTATGTTGTGAAGTGCCATCGAGTCAATTCTGATCCATAGAGACCCTGTATAGGGTGGTTTCCTAGTAGCGGGTGGTTTTCTAGGAGCAGGTGGTGAGCTTAAACCACTGATCTTGCAGTTCAAATGACTTTGCAGTCTGATGCATTAGCACACAATTTAGGTACATACTAAATGGAATTGTTTGTATTTATTTTATGTTGAAAATATAATCAAATAAGGAAAAACAGAGCATACTTTTCCTTGTGCTCAAGCTACAAGTGACTCAGAGAAATCCGACTCATAACAGCTATGAACTTATTTTTAAGACTATAAAAATTTACCTACAGAAAAAATATAGCCTGATAACTAAGTCTCATATTTTAAGAGGTCCAGGCTGATGGAGCATCCTGCATGGTAATGTATGAACCTAGAGTCCTTTAATCGTGTTCCACTCCATCCACTACAGTGTTGTCCTTAATTGCATCCTTGAAGTTGGGTTACTATTGTTTCTAGACCAAAGGGAGAAAACAATCCAATCCAGAGCAGGCAATTTCCTTCTAAGTGATAAGGAAGTTGCAAGGTCAATGATAAGGAAGTTGCAATGCCACTTCTGCACAAATTCTATTGGTAAGAACTAGTCATGTCTGGCTGTAAGGGCACTGACAAAATCCAGCTCAGCAGCATTGTGCCCTACTGAAAACTCAAATGGCATAATAAAAGAGAACATAGAGTTTGTGCTATGCTGTGTTTTCTACAGGGTTATACGTCTTATCTTGTTGATTGTGTAATTACTCACCTATTTTGAATCTGAAAACCTTTTTTGTGATACAAATAGTATGTATTTTCTCTCAAACTGTGATGTATTTTTTTCACATTGTTCCTATATGTCATCTAAATTTTTATTTTATTTTAATGCATTCCATTCTAGGAATAGACCCCAAAGACTTCATAGCAAAACCTCAAACACATACTTATACACCAATGTTCACAGCAGCATTAATCACAAAAGGGAAAAGGTAGAAACAACCTAAATGTCCATCAACAGGTAAACAAAATGTGTGTTCTTGTTAGGTGCCATCAAGTTGGTACTGATTCATAGTGACCCTATGCACAACAGAAGGAAGCACTGCCTGATCCTGGGCCAACCTCACAATTGTGGTACAAACAAAATGTGGCACATGCATATAATGGAATGCTGTTTCATAAAGAGAATTAAAGTTCTGATACATACTACATAACATAAATGAAAACTGAAACCATTATTCTGAGTGAAGTCAGTCTGTCACAAAGAACAAATACTGTATGATTCGATTTATATGAAATATCTAAGACTGACATAGGCAAAAGTTTATTTATGGCTATTAAGCCTGGGTTGTTGTGCCATCGAGTCGATTCTGACCCATAGCGAACCTGTATAGATAGAGTTTCCAATGAGCAGCTGGGAAGCTTGAACCACCGACCATGCAGTTCAAATTACTTTGCAATCTGATGCATCAACCCACAGCGCCACACCAGGACTCCATTAAGGCTGGGTGGTGGTTGTTGTGAAGTGCTATTGAGTCGGTTCCGACCCACAGTGACCCTGTAAAGGGTTTTTAAGGAGCAGGTGCTAAGCTTGAACCACCGACCTTACAGTTCAAACGGCTTTGCAGTCTGGCGCATTAACCCACAGCGCCATGGGGAAGGGAAAATGAGAGTGATTGTTTAAAGAACTGAGTTTCTATTTAGAGTAAAGAAAACATTTAGAAATGGAGAATGGTAATGGCTATTCACCATGGTGAATACAATTAATGTTAATTAAATGAACACTCAAAATAATGACTAAAATGACAAATGTTTTGTTACATATATTTTCAACAACAAAACTTTAAAAAATGTTTGTGTTGTAATTTTTAAAAATTTGTTATAGTCCTCTTTCAAAACATATTACATATTTGTAGATTTGATTCTAGGCACGCTGTGTCAATTTGGTAGTAAGGGAAAGACAGGATACCATGGTTAATAATGATCCATAAGTACAACATTTACAGTCAACTTTTCTATTTTAATTTCAAAGGGAGAAGGAAAACATGTTACTTTAAATATAAAATATAAAAAATATCTTTTTGATATCTCATTTCATCATTTTTTTTTTGTTTTGACTAGATGTACACTGATTCATAGTTTTTCTAACTAAAAAAATAATCATTTCAAAAGTGCTCAGTTGTCAAAATACTTAGCTAAAAACTAATTTTGAATCAAGAAGACAGAAATAGGAGTTAGGTTGAAGCATATAGCTGATAGATAAAAAACCAAGTTTAGTATGATATGTCTAATATGCAGTGGGACTGGCAATAAGAGAGGAGTTAAGGCTAGAGATTATTTAAAAAATTATTAAATGCAGAAGAGATTGTTTAAGCCTGGTTAATAAATACTTTCAAGAAGAGCATACAAAGGGCATTCAGAAAGTTGTGCCAACTTTTAGGGGTCTAAAAGAGCAAACCATTAAGAAACTCATGAGATACATAAGGGTGGTGGCAGTTAAGTGTTACCAACTTGGTTCTGACCAAGATGAGTTATAGAATGACATCAAGGACATCATACATGAAGAAAGCAAAAGGTCATTAAAAAGAGAGGAGGAAATAAAGACCAAAACATGTATTAGAAGAGCCCCTGAAACTTACTGCTGAACACAGAGTAGGCAAAGCATATGGAAGAAATAATGAAAGTGCTGAACGGGTCATTTCAAAGGGCAGCTTGAGAAGACAAAGTAAAGTATTGCAATGAAATGTGCAAAGATATGAAGTTAGAAAACCAAAAGGTAAGAGTATGTTCAGCATTTCTTAAGCTAAAAGAACTGGGGTTTTAAAAAAATCAACAAGTCATGAGTTGCAATACTGAAATGTTTGGATTTCTGGTGTGGCATTATGTTGTTGTTGTTGTTATATGCCGTCGAGTCGGTTCCAACTCATAGCGACCCTGTACAGGGTTTCCGAGGCTGTAAATCTTTACGGGAGCAGAAAACCTCATCTTTCTCCTGCAGAGCAGCTGGTAGTTTTGAACTGCTGACCCTGAGAGTAGCAGCCCGATTCGTAACCACTATGCTAGAGTATGATCAAAAACTGATTATGAATGAAGTAAAGTCCAAGCTGCATTGAAGGCACTGGCAAAAAAACAGGGCTCCTCATATTGATGTGATACCTCTTGCTGTTGTTGTTAAGGGCCATCAAGTTGATTACAACCCGTAGCAACTCTGTATAGGGTTTCCAAGGAGCAACTAGTGAGCTTGAACTACCAACCTTGAAGTTCAAATGACTTTTCAGTCTGACTCATTAACCCACAGCACCACACCAGGACTCTGTGATACCTCTTGAGATGTTTCAATAATTGGATGCAATGTTGGACGTATTAACATATACACCAAGATATATGGAAAACAATTCCTTGGTTAAGTAATTGGAAGAGATCTCTATTTGCTTTCAAAAGAAAGACCCAACAAAATATTGAAAGTGAATGGTCATTAATATCATCCTGCTTCCAGACTGTAAATCTTTACAGAGCAGACAGACTACTTTTCTACCACAAGGTTAAGTTAACAGCCCAAGAGAATCTCTAAATATGAGAAACTATAAGCAATAACACAATCTTTCTTTAACTGTCCATATTTATTTACTAAAATAAGTTCAAATTTGCTATTTGTCAAACCGAAGACAGGACAACAACTAAACTAATGCTTATGTCTTTTGCTTCTCCTGTCCTAAGTTTTCACGAGACTGTCACAGTTTGGCAGCAGACTATGAAACAGACTGTTCTGACTGAAACTGAGGATGTCATGAAGAAGACTATGTACCCAATGAGAGCTGTGGGAGTTACTCCGGTGCCAGTACGTGCTTATCTCCGGCTTACTTATGTCTACTATTAAAAAGCACACTCTTGAACACCATCCTTTACTTGAACCCGAAGCAAGAAGATAGTCAGGGAACCAATATAAAATTCCAGGTTCAGCTACTCTGCCACTTTGTAGAGATTTTACCTTTCTTGGGGCTCTATTTCATTCCAAATGACTGCAGTTCAAAACTGTTAAGGATTGGAACATTTATTTTTTAGTTTTTAAAATTAAAGCTTAGTATTTCCTTCTATATAAAATCTTCAGTGTATCTATCCCTTTATTTTAAAACCTGACATAAAAATTAAGAAATTGAAACAGGTATAAAAAACTCAAAGGCAAAAAGGTGGGAAAGAGGAAAGGGAAATCTATCCATACACACAACTTGAGATAAATTTTCTAACCACTAGGTGGCAGACCTGCAGTGGCAATTGTACTAAAGAACCTAATTAAGTGCAAGGAAGCTCTTAAAAAAAACCTGTATTTAAATGCAGTGCCATGTGCCAGCTATTCTTTGAAGAATCAATGATACATTTACTGTGTATACATCTCCTTTTCAGTCCTTTTCTTATTCTCCGCCTATAAATTTTGCTTAGTCATTGTAAATGTCATAAGAAAGTTTAATAAAAATGCTATTTGCTGGACTACCAGCAAGATGGTAGCCTACGTAGGTAAGCTACTCCATAGGAGAAATTAAAGGAAATGGATATGGATGATAATCCTGGAACCCTGAACTTCAAAGAAAAGGATAAATAAATGAATCAAATACTGAATAGAAAAAGAATTAAAACAATGAACAAGGAGACAAATAGAATAGTAATTTGTCCACTGGCCTGACATAGCACGGCCATTTTGAATTTTTGCAAGCAGCATTTTGATCAGGCAACATCCTGATAATGTGTTCCATTGGACTGCACCAATGGTGTGCTACTTCTTATTCCCCTATTCTCCAATAGAGGACAATCTAGAAGTGAGGCCAGAGTGTTCCTTGGAGACCAGGATGGCCAAACTTTGTCTCTCATACTTCAGAC